AACGACAGCGCGAGAGAGAGCTCAACTCAGTCACAAATTGTCACAAATTAACTCAATGAGTGGCGCTTGGGCCGAGGCAATGCTGCTGCTGAAATAATTTAATTATGAAGTCGAATTGCGGAGCTCCGACGAAAATCAGAGCGTGGCCTTGCGCCTGACTTCTGACTACACGGTCTTATCTAATCCGGACGTTAATCAAACCACAACTCAAGCATTTCCAACGCAATATTCCTTACTCAGCCTTAGTCATATGGCGCGTATACGTAATGTTATTGCCATATACACACACACATATTGTGTATACATTTGGTGCATTTGGTATGGTAAATGGGTAAATGTAATTGCGTGGCATGTCCACGTGCCAGAGACGCCCTCCGATGATTATATAATCGATATGGAAACACAACAAAAGACAACAGACAGCTCCGCGCGCATGTAAAAACGGAACGAAAACGGAGCTGCCAAAGCCTTTCAATTGTGGACACTTTTGTTTTCGCACTGTCACCAAGACAAGGGTCAACATTGTGGCCAAAATGACAAACACAAAAACCGAAGCGACCAAAATAAATGTTGCCCACTAAAAATAGCGCAAAAGAATAATCACAAGAAACAAAAAAAAAATAAAAAATAAAAAAAAAAACAAGTAAGAAAGCTCTAATCGAGACTGCTCGACTACGAGATCCCCTGAACCCTTGGAGTGTTAGCTATTTCAATAATTTTTCGCGTCTTTCACAAACACGTACGCACACACAGGCATACATACACACACACGCATACAGACACAAACGCATACACACACTCACATACACACACACATACACAAACACATACACACACATACACAAACACATACACACACAAGCACCCACGCATAAACACGCATGGGCTGCAGTGTGCGCTTACTATGAGAACTTANAAGTCTCTAGCTCTTATATCTTCGGAAATCGACGCTTTCAAACATACGGACAGACGGACAGACAGACAGACGGACAGGGCCAAATCAACTCAGCTCGTCACCCTGATCAAGAATATATATACTTTGTGGGGTCTGCCACGCCTCCTTCTGACTGTTACATACATTTCAACAAAACCATTATACCCTGATTTCCTATTTTCAATGGGTTCAGGGTATAAAAATAAAAAAGTGAAGCAATAGAGAAAACCAAACCAACGAGCAAAACAACTAAAAGTAAAAGCGATACGCGGTCAGGCTACGTGTGAGCGTGTGCAAATACAACAAAGGGGAAATGCGTAAAAGATATCCTGCTGCAAAAACCAACAGTAAAACCAAAAAACAAATTTATGAGCGCAAACAACCGCAGGGAATAATTCGAAGTGAGGTTTGCAACAAAATAAAATAATAAAATTAAGCCAAACTATTTGAGTTTTGCACAACATTTTTAGCTGATTGTAGAATACCAATTAAGTGCCGCTGACCTCACCTGCAATTTAAATTGACTTATTTGCTATAATTTGAAAACAAACTTGCATCGAATTTCGTTCATATGCGGTCAACAAAATGACTTAACACAATATCATCAACTTAATTTCCACCTCTTCTACCTCAGCACTTTTCTATTGAAAATTTATAATTTTCTATAATTTAATAGTCACATTTTTTTCAGCTGTAATTAAAATTGATCTATTTTCTATAATTTAAAAACAAACGAATTCTTAACAGAATATCTTTAACTCAAGCTCTACCTATTATACCCCTGAAATATATATAATAGCCACACCTTTGATAAAAATTGCAAACTTTTTCCATTTAATTTAAATTAAAAAATAAATAAATAAATAAATAAAATAACATTATCCTAATTTCTTATATTCAATAGGTTAGGGTATAATAAAATATATATATATGTTCCCCGACAACTCATAAAATATTTCTTGAGCTCAAATTGGAATGCATATATCTTTGAAAAGCAGTCTGGAAATAAAACGTGACATTATATCTGAAGAGTTTTCAATCTCACTGAAAAGCACTTTACCATTATTAACTCAGTTTGCCGGAGAAACTCAAAGCTGGTCTCGGTCTAGGTATATTCAAGGCGGGTACGAATTCTCATTCGTAGGAGCTTTATTGTTGGGCAAGTGAAAGGCAGCAGCTAAGTAAAAAGCCAGCCGGGACCCGTACATAAAAGCGCAAGCCAACAAAATGTGGCAGCAGCTCTTTAGAAAAGTATCGAACAAGAGCGGCGAGAAAAACACGGCTAAAATGGGGTAAGATGGATAAGCGCCAAGCAAAACGGGCAAAGATGAAGTTTTTCGCGTTGGAATAACACGAAACTTAAAAGTGCACAAAAAGAAGAGAAAGGAAACCAAATAAGATAAAAAAGTAATAAAAAAAAAAAAAAACATAAAAATAGAGACTGAAATGTGGCAACGAAAAGTCAGACGGCGGCTGCTGTGCATCGTCCAGGTTGTTTCCTGGCCAAGGATATGACGACAGCCTTTCGCCTTTCGCCTTTCGCAACATCTTTCAACTGCTCTGCTGTTCGGCCAAAGTTTCTCAGACTCTCGGGTCAATATTAATAGTATAGCTCTGCTTCTCAGTCGCGATTCCGTCTATTTTTTATGAGTAATGCTCAACGGCGACGATTGCTTGTTAAAGCTGGCGCACGGCGCGTATACGTAATCTGACAGGCTGCTGAGCTGAATTAAATATCATTTCATTTTACTAGTCTGTACTATTAGATATGGAAAACCGGATTTCAACAAACTGATCTTTGATAAGCTCTCGCATTATTTAAATATATATCTAGAATTTTTTTGTTTTTAATAAATTGTGATATTGACTTTCAGGCAGGCTATGTATTATAGGCATGTAATGACAGGCATTTGAAGCTTTTAGCATTTAACTTAATTAATTGTATTATTTTATCGCTAGCTCTGCGATAAAAGGAATTAAATGGACGTAAATTTATTTGAGGCAATAATTTGGCAACACGACAGCAAATTAGAGACAATTTGATCGGCATGCAGCGCCAAGCCGCGTTGCCCGCCTAACTGAATCAATAAACCCGAATGGGAAGGAAAGAAAGCGCTTCAAGGTCAATCAAAATGGGCTTTGCAGTAAAAGCGAACCGTTTTAATAAATGAATTGCTGATTAAATGAAGTCGGCTAAGGCAGACGAACGAGAAAAGCGACAACGCAGAAGGCACAAAACAAAAACAAAATGTGGGCCAAAAATCCAGGGCACAGAGGAATGCCCAAGAAAATGTGGAACAAAATAAAATTGCGAAAATGTGCTCATGTGTCTGGCAAGCAGCTGAAGGGAGGCCGGAGGTTGCGCAGGGTGCTCGCGGTGTGTGTGAGCCATAAAATCAGAAGCGAGGCGCAAGGCAAAGCAAGGCAAGGTTAAACTAGGCGAAAGCCTGTCACAGATGTGAATGCGACTAGCAAAATGTGCGCAGAGACACCGTTTTATGGCCAATGATGGCAGAGGCAGAGGCAGCGACAGAGTCAGTGGCAGCGACAGAGGCAGAGATAGAGGCAGCGGCAGCGGATACGCAACTCGGGCCAAATGGCGCTGCTGAGAATGCAGGAACAATAACAAAAACAAATATCCGCCTGCGGACCGCACAAAGCCAATGAACGTCAGGCCAGTTCAGCTTTTAGTTCGTGGACTAGACACACTGGCGTATATATGTATGTGTGTGTGTGTAAATGCGTAAGTGTGCTTGGGGACAGCGAGCAAAAAGGACAGAAACACGCGCCGGGTCCTGCGAAAAGCACGCACAACAGACACTAAAAAGGAAATGTTAATAAAAGTGTATTAAAAAAAAAAAAAATGAAAGAATCGATGAGTCCTATTTAGACCCCACAAACTCACACATACACACATACACAGAGAGAGACTAAGTAGTCACTCTTTAAGAACTGTAAGACAGTACCTTGCCCGAAACCCTTTCAAGTGCTAAAACACTTGGTAAATCGTTAAGGCCCAGGCCCTAACTAAATATAGTGAACCAAAGTCATATGGGCATGGCTTGAAAATTGAGTTATAGTTCCAATAAAGCTTGTATCTGTACGATTTTAATGTTTGTGGAGTCCATCAGAGCCAAAGGGATTAAGAAAACAAAAGTGAAACCAATTTGTTCTTACCCAGAAAAAAAATAAGTGAATGAAAGAATTAACAACAACAAAAAAAAGTAATTTGGGAATTAAATAAAATCTTCGGCAAATAACAAATTACAAATAGAACATAAATGGGTCAAAAAGTTCTGCGACCGCCTAAAATCCTTAAAAATAAAGTCAAAGTGGAAAAACAAGCAAGTAAATATACACGTATATACTGTTTTTAAGAGATCTGTTATTCAGCCAGACAGTGACAAGGGGCAACGTTCTGCTCATAAACCAAAAAAAAAAAAAAACAAGAAGTAAAATAGCAACAAAAACCTAATGGATTCGACTAACGGACTGACTTGACTCACCGTCAGCCTGGGGGACGGTCGTTCGACCATTTGGCGAGTCTCCAAAAGGGCAACAAGGCAAGCAAGCCAGAAAGAGAGAGAAAAGCGCGCCAAGTGACGACAAAAAAAATGAAACTGTGTGAAAACAAATTTTGAAGTAATTTACGTTACGCGTCAGAGAAAGAAGCCGCTGCGTTTTATTTATATTTATGAAATTTAAGGCGAAAAATGTGGCTTAAAAGTAAAAAGCTTTTAGGAGGCAGCCAGCCCCAAACAGCCCCTCGTGTCCCGCCGCTCATCCTCCGCCCCTTGCCAAACCACACACAACATTTGCATTCAAGGGTAAAATATTAGAATTTTCCCATTAGAGGAGGGGTTCTGCTTCCCCTTTCTTCGCGTCGAGTGTTTGTGTTTAATTTATTTGTATTTCTCTTCGTGTTCTTCTTGTTGTTGGGTTTGGTTGCTTTGTTTACGCAAAAGCCACAAACACAGCTAAAGCTACGGCTACAGCTGAGCTTAGCTGTAGGTATAAACAAACACAGACCCACACACACGCACGCATAATGACAAAAGCTACTCACCTATAAATACACATACACATGCACGAATACACATGTGCGTCGACAGCGGCGTTGGCGACAATTTTGAAATGCAGTTACATTTCGCCGCGAWTGCAAGCATTTGTTTTTGTTTTTGTTGTCGTTGTTTTCCTTTTGTTTGCTAGTGTTTTTGTGCTGCTTGTCTCCGTTCTTGTTGTTGTTGTTGTTACTGTCGTTGTTGTGGCTGTTGTTGTTGTTTACAGGCTGATAACACAAACGACGCGGGTGAATGTGAATTAGAAAAATGCGACAAATCGCTTTGCACTGCACTTGACAAGCATTTGTTTATGGTTTCTTGCTGCTGGCTGTTGTTATTGTTGTTGTTGTTGTTTTTTTTTTTTTTAATTTTTTATGAAAACACTGAATTGTTGATTAGATTCATACACTAATTCTTGGGCAGTCGCCTTTGTTTGCTATTTGTATTTGCTGTACATATTATGCAAAACTGTTTGCACCGTTTGTTTTACAACCGGCGGCAATTCCGCATACGTAGTGTTTGCGGCAGCCTAATACTCGAGCAGCTGGCGAGAGCGGTGGGTGGATGAGCGCTGTCACAGAATTGCTCGACTTCCGGCTTTTCGACTTTTTCACAGCACGACGTCAAGTTGAGCACTGAGCACGATGTGTGCGACCGAAAAATTCTGTGCGGGCCTAGCTAAATTACAGCGTACCCAAATCGCTGCGCTCTCTCTGGATCTCCCTCTCTCTGTCTAGCTGCCTCACGTTGGCGCGTTGACGCTTGGGCACACATACTCTCTCTTTCGCTCACTCTCTTGCTTTGCTTTTGCTAGCTTTCGTTCTCTCGCTCTCTCTCCTACTGTAATTGTGCTCTGCAGCTTATGAATTCTGAGCGCTACTATTGCCGTCTTGCCGTTGCTCCAGTTCGCTTTGGCGCCAGACATCAACTGATAGGGCGAACCAGCAGCAGCAGCAGCTTCAGCAGCGCTCGCAGCGCAGACAAAGCGTCTACTTTGGCGCTAGCGTCGACGCCAGCGTCAGCGTTAGCATGTGCTACGTTTTGTTTACTGTTATTTGGCACAAGCCGCTGCTTAATGTACTCTCTCGCGCTCTTTCAAGCTGCCTGTGGGTGTTGACAATGAAAGCTACAGTGGCGCCAAGTTGTCAATAGTCTGGTGAAATTTTAATAGATGACAACTGTAGTAAATATTTAGACATTATTTAAAGCTTTTATTTTTTAACTGTTAAAGTAACATTAAAATGTATTAAACATTATACGAAATAGTGAATTTTATGCAGAGTAAAGCTTGTTAGCCATAGTCCACTTCCTGAAATTTCGATTCGCATAGATGCTTATCAGACCACTGTGTCTTCAAGTTAAGAGCATTCTCTTTGACGGTGTCTGATGCGCAGACGCCATTTTTGTGGGCAGGCGTTTGGCTATTGTTGAACTTCAAGGCTTTGTTTGAGTTTGTGCTCTTCCTTTAAGAGAGGTACTGAAATTAAAAGCTGTGATCTTGAACAAAGATAATCCTGTTTGTATTACAGACAAAATTGTCATATAGAATAAATCCAAATTAAAATATAATA